CCCAGTAACTCGTGACCACAACATAGTATCTCATGCACACGACGTAGTAACTCGTCGCAACGATATAGTATCTCGTGCGCACCACTTAATTATCTCGTTTCCACAAATAAATAAATCGTGGCGATTAAATAGTATCTCTTACGAACGATTAGGGAACTCGTGGCTACGACATAGTATCTCGTGCACACCGCTATATTATCTCGTCACGACAAAGTATATCATGCGTACGAGATAAAAAAACGCACAAATGTCATATCTGTACCACCGTACATTTTATAGTTTAAAGGCAAAATTTATTTACTTATTTTCATAAAAAGGAATCCGCCAGGAAGTTCCAAAACTTGAATGTTTCAAGTAAATCAAATGACTCGTTACTGTCCATTACACAGGCGTTCGGCACATTTGCCGTGCCAATAATTGCCACGACCTATACTTAATTTTTGAAGTTGTTTTTTATTTCTTTTCTCTACTTCAAATGAAAATTAAAAGAAACTTTGCAGGATTGGTCGGTTCCTCAAGTAATAAAGTACATATGTCAGGGTTATGCAATGCAATTGGTTATCATCAGGCGACACATGTGAGCCCTTGTCTCTCATATACTTTCAATTAAAATGATATTCAAATTATCTCAACTGAACTTAAAAAACTTACATGTAAATTAATTTGTTTTAAATAGTCCATGTGTGCCGCAACATTCACATCAAATTGGAAATTATATCAAATATTTTCAGAAATGAAGCTATGTTGAACAAAATGTATACCGAAAGGTGTTGTTTTCTTTACATATTATTAGTTTCTGATATAGGTAAGTCTTTTTGTCATATCGTTACAAGAGCAATCGCCTTTTTAATTAGATATATACTATGCTCAGCTTTAAGTGAAATATTTTATTCACAGTAATTTATTGAAATCTATGATATTTTTACTGACTATTTTTAATTTGAATTAACGAATGAGTAAAATTACGTTGGCCCTTTCTTAGAATATCAGCCTTTTTTAATTACACTATTCATTCATATTGTGTCCACCTATAGCGTGTTGAATTTAAATCTACTTCATGTGAAGTCTGAAGTGTTTATTTGTATTTTCAAAGATGGTGCTGTGGAGCAATTATCAATACTTTCTAATATCAAATGTGAGCATAGTAGATATTTAAGTATCAAAATCTGTCTATATGTAACCAACGGACAGAAAATATTTTTACATGAACAAATCTTCAAATATTGCGAGAATAAGTTTAAGTTGTACTGCTCCTTGGTTCTACTTTCAGTATTCAACTTCATTAAACAAATTTTTGCAACAGGTTACAATTTATACGATAAAAGACAAAGTAACGCCTATGTATTGGCTAAATAAAATGTTACTTCTGATTAACGAATCATCACTTTACTTTTTTTATTTACAAAAGACTATTTTATTTACTATTCAATGAATGGCATCCACATCAGTTTAGTTTTTTATTTATTTTGTCTAGAAAGACAGGACATACACAATCTTTATTGTGATTTTACATCCTGTCATAGTCTCGTGCACGTTTTCTATATCAGTTTTAAATATACCCGGTATTAAATAAGTTTATTTGTGCTAATCACAAGCATTTGAAGACATGCGTAATTTATTAAATGTCTCTCTTACATTGGTGTGTTGACAAACTCTATTCAGCTGACACCATTGCAAGTAACAGCCACAGAAAATTCCAGTGCCACACTCACATGTTCAAAGACGAATGGAATTCTGACAGAATCACTTTGGTTTAACTCTCAGATAAATGGTGGCGGAAATTTATATTACTCCAAAGGACAATGTATCACATCGCGGTTTCTAAATAATAGTGCTTTTTTTAGCGGTGTGTGCAATAATAATGGAACGTTTTCTGTAATTCTAAAGAAAATTGAACGTTCACAACATGGAGCTAAATGGAATTGTTCAGGAACTCTTTCCTCATCAAATACAGTCGCAATAAAAGTGTAAGGTAATAAGAAATTTTCAATTGCTATAACTACGAATGCATTAATAATTTTTACTGACACAGTTTCTAAAACCTTTATATATTGTATAGTTGTAACCATTTGCTTTTGCGTATATTGTGTCTAATTCTTTGTTGTTGTCGCATAATTTCAAAATCATTCGAAAGTTATGCTTTTGCTCTTACTGACAAGTAGCTATGCACATACAGTTTCATGGAGTACTCATATCATTGTCTTTATAATACTTAACAATTATAATGATTCCTAGTTTATTAAATTGTCTTGTAAATTTTCTTTTAATGTTTTTGATCGTATAACATTATCACACACTTGCCTATTATTTTCATACGTATATATTCTAACAATTTATGTTTTTGTTTAATAACAAATGACTAAAATGGAAGGAAATTTACCTCTACTATTTTATTACTATGATATGATTTTATGATTAGTTTAGAAAACAATTTGGACATCCTTTCCCTCTTTGACTTCAACTAATGTGTATACATATTTCTGAAAATCTCCATAATTTCATGCTGCATCACTTTTAACAGTTCCGGCTACAAGCGTGGAATTGAGCCAACATAATGGGGACTACATGAAGGAAAATCAGGAAAAGATTATCTCTTGCAGCACATCAGCATGTCGACCAGACCCAAGAGTACAATGGTATCTTAGAAGTTTCGACCAGGTTGTATATAATTTAACACATTTGTCAACCAACAAAGACGTTAATGGTGAATATGGTCTCAAAGCCGTTGAGAGTGTACTAAAATTAAGACCAAATAGAACGATGAATTACTTACGTCTGTACTGTGAAGTGTGGACTCAATTTGAAAAAGCTGACAAAACAAGCAGAAAAACAATTGTTAATGTTACATGTAAGGCTAAAATACATTTTTTTTTATCATGAAGTATGTTTTCAACAAAAATATATACATAGGAACCAGCTGAGGATAAAATCATGCGTAAGCAAGTTTTCTCCATCTAAAGATGAACTGTTTTGCATCAGACAAAACGCATCTATGTAAGAGATGTTGCATTGAATTGTCAAGAAACATCTAAAGTATTTTGTCCTTCCATTTTTTGTCTTAAGAAACTCTGAATAAAAAATAAATAAATAATTAAAAAACTGAAATAAGTACATTTTAAAAACCTTCAAAATTGTATTAAATAGTTTGAAAACTGGTAGACTGAGAGGGTTTTTAACATTAAACCCGAATTAACCCAAGCTTGACTTTTTATTTCAGATCCCCAAGATAATTCACCTTTAATACAAGGAATTGGATCTAACGATGTCATACGGGTCATTGAGTCTGATAAAGGGTCATTTGTATGTTCGATTACCGGAGGAAACCCATTGGCATCGTTAAGCTGGAACTGTTTCGACAGTCATGACTCACTATCGCGAACCCAAGATAGCACTGTAACAAGCACAGTTAAATGGACGGCATTGCGCAATTATAACACATGCTCCTGTACATCGAATCACAAAATAAGTAATTGGAAAAAGACAACGACGAACATAACAGTTGAATGTACCAATGTGGAGTTTAAGTTTTCAATTATACTGAACATGTCAAACGATTATTCAAAAAAAAGGCTTAACATCTTATCTATTGAAAGCAACTCATTTAACTTTTACAAAATCAGACAAGTCTAATATACAAATTTAAAAAAAAAGTCTTTTTATTGTTCCTGAAACTAAATTGCCAATCTTTACGATATTTTGATTAGAATTTGTGCTGTGCATTGAACATTTATTGTTTGATACTTTCCAGATTTTGTTAAAATAATTTAGAAATATGGGTTACTTTGCTAAATTGAATGACTTTAGTATGATAAAAGTTAATGTAAATCATCAATTCATATGTATTTTTGTCAGAATTTAGTTGTTGTTTTCTTTTTAAGACCCTCCAACCACACCACATTTTAAAATCGGACAAACATATGTTTTTGGCAATGTTCGTGTTATTCAAAACAACACATTGCGAGTTGTCTGCAATAGCGAAAGTAATCCTTTATCTAGCTACATATGGACTGGTCCAGGTTTTTCTGGCAAAGGTGATACGTTGGAAATAACAAGCGTTAAAATAAGCAATCAGGGGGATTATAAATGCGTGGCGTCAAACAGGATGACAAGAACGAATTCTTCCTATGAGGACGGGAGTAATTCATCATCACTAATTCTAACAATATTGTGTAAGTACAAACCATTTCATGGAAATAAACCCAAGCAGATTGCTTTGATCACAGACAGAGAAACATTTTAACAATTAGATTAATATGTGTCTTAAGAAAAGAAAAATGTTCTGATAACTATAATTGCATTAAAATCAAAGTATCTAATATTTTGTTATCTGTTATAATTTTTATAGTATTAATATATTTCAGTTGACATAATAAATGTCTCGTTCAACATAAGATGTACAAACTGTTGATATTTTCAGACCCCCCCCCCCAAGCGATCCTAAATTTAAATTAGAAAACTCCAGTGGTCAGCTCATTCAATCAAACATATTTTACGTAGTGAGAAATGATACGTTTTCAATTTATTGCGATGTAAAAGGAAATCCTGTACCTGACATCAAATGGGATGATAACAAAAGCAATCCCAGATTGAGTATATCTAATATCCTTATGGACATAAATAGTACATGCAGAGCAACAAACTTGATGAAAGAAACTGCAAGTCAAAAAGAAATGAATTCAAAATCAGAAGAATCGTTTTCAATCTTTGTCTTTTGTAAGTTTATATTTACGATGTCTTAGCTAAAGTAAACACATAATTGATTATTATATTTGAAAGAAAAATATAGTGTTTTGCACATTTAAGTATTCAGGATTTTATTTTGTTTGTCTTGAGACAAAATATATTTGCCATTTTTACTTAATATTTATTTCATTCAAAGGTGAAGCGTCACTTACACTCAAAACTCGCAACAAATTCGTTCAAAGCATCATTCAAAGCATCTTATGTCAGAAATAGATTTATCTCATTACGTTACATTTTATAATTTGTATTCAAGATCCTCCAGGGCTTCCTACAATACACGTTTCAAATTATAATGGCGACAGCGTTCAAGTTCAAAATGGAAACGTCAGTCTTATTGAATCAGAAACAATCAATGTGACATGTTTTTCGACAAGTAAACCAATGCCGACATATAAATGGATACATGAGCAATATATGAAAACACAGTCGACAAACGTCTTGAAATTTGCCAACATCAGTCGACACGAAAGTGGAACATATGCTTGCAACGTTGAAAATACTATGAAGAGATCAATTGGCAAAACTGAAGTAGGGAAAAGTAACTCACAAATAATTCTGAACATAATATGTAAGTAAGAAATTTTACACTCTAATTAATTAATAAGGGAATACCGGAATGTATGGAGATATAATCTGAAAGACGTTCTGAATTGAAATTACTAATAAGTCTATAGATGCTGAACATTATACATATGTTATCGCCTACAAGTGATTTTTTTTATATTTTGGTCTTACTGCATTTTTCATGTATTTCTTTTAGAGAAAAAGCATGGATGCAACATTTTCTTTTTGTGCATACAATATCTTTCTCCACTAAAATACTTTGCTTATTATTCGCAAACCAGTTTAACCGGGGATACTTTAGATTAAATCTCATATGCAGTCTGTCTGTCCGTCAACAAAAATTATATCTCTTGATAACGCAATAAGTTACTGATAATAATGTTATGAAACTTAATATATGGATAGTTGGTAGTCTGGAGATTGTACATGTTTTTGTTTTCCAAGTATGTCGAAATATTTAGCTTCTCAGTGACTCTTCAAAAATGGGTACAATTACACAATGAAAAAAGGTGATTTTTAAAGTATCTTAGATTGTCAATATTTTTGCATTTTTTTAATATCCTTTGCATAATGATACTATTTCAGAAAGAGTTGTCCACAACATTATGTCTCCGTTTTTGAAATAAGTGTTTAAAATATGTACCTCAAATTCAAAGTTACGGGCGTTAGAAGGCCGGGGTACAATCTTAATAAATGAATTGTCAAAAACATGTTGTGCCATGTACAACAGACAATTTTTATTTTACAGAAGATACACCAGGCTTATAGAATGTGATTTACGATGTGGTTTTCTAATATATATTAAGGTTAAACAAGCAATGCGTTTAAGAACATTTCTTTTATTATTATTTTTCAAATCCAAACATCGAAATTTCACTTTCTCGTTAATGAAGGCGTTACACTGAAACATTGTAATAACTATTTTAAACACACAATAAACATTTTTCAAACACTGAAAACGTTTTTCAATGACATTAAGTCATACAACATTAAGTTTTAAACACTTTTACAGAAATATAACTTATCTTTATGGCAATTAGAAAACCATTACCATTCTCATATGACATTAAAGTGTAGTTCAACTGAACAAGGTATATTGTTTCATCATTTAAAATGATACAAATAACACTTGCAGATATTTGCAATGTTACAAGGCCATTTTATCGCCCTGTTACGGAGGTTGGCAATGTTTCACTCTACACGTTATGTCCGTCTCTTTAACATTATAGTACTGACGAAATATATCTTCAACCAGTTTCCTTTCAGCCAATGATATCTTGTAACACCGTTTGGATTTCCCGAAAGCTGTAACTGAAGAAAGGACCAATAAAACGCACTTCCTCTTTACCCATAAATTCATCACGGGTGATTGGAAATTTGTAGGCCTCTCCGTATTGCCTGATTTTGTCAAAAAGTTTATATCGCTTGTCGATTCTGCCCACTTTATAAATCCTTCTGCATCTTGGATTGCTGCTTTGCCGTGTTTTACACTTTGGTATGTTGCTGTTTTTACGCTGGCCCCTAGGCCATCACACGGCCCTTTACCATGGCCACTTTCTAGATAGTTCCATCTAGCATCAACTCCGAACTCTTCTGTGTGATTACAAAGTATCTGGAATATTGTTTTGTTACGATACTGTGACGTCGGTGACTCACTTAAGTAATGAATCCTCCTGAGATCAGGTACTTCATTTTTAATCAATGGTATACACTTTTGCAGTGAACAGTAGACAGCAGCTGCGTTATGTTTTAAGCTCTCTGATGCGGCAAAGTAAGACTGTGTCTTCTTTTTGCAGTTTGGTGGCCGATATACAACCATTGTATGTAGCGATACCATCTCATTGTTCCAAAAAGCGATTTGCACTTCTTCTAGGTCAGTACAAACATAGTTTTCCGAGAAGTCTACCCATAACACGATCTTATTGTCAGGCCATGATTGTCGCAAACGACGCATTTCACCATATTGAGTTTTTACCCTTAACACGTGTTCACGAAACGTCGAGTACTCATTCACAGCAGTTGAGATGAACAGTCCTTTTGTCATCTTTTCTTCTATTTCCTTCCACCTTTACTTTTCTCCATCTTGTATCTTTTTACAGATCTTAAAAGTTATAGATTCCGCGTCCTTGATACCGGATTCAAGAACACTCTTCAACTGATCTGTCTCTACATATTCTGTCAGAAATACATCAGGGTTTGCAGAACACTTTATTCCAAGTCTCCGTAGGGTTTTAATTTTCAAGGAGAAGTTCTGATGATATGTACAGAGGCAAGTCCTTCTACGAGGGCTATTCAATAAATACGCGGAAAAGTGTCGCTATTTCCTTATTTTCCAAGTAAGCTGAATAAAACTTATACAGTAATAAAGACAAACATATTTTGAAAATATACAGCAAATATTGTCGTTCTGGCATGAATCATATGTTAACAAACGGTCGTTATGGTAACCACGTGTAGCAATTACCGGCCCACTTTTGTTCATTTTTACAAATAGTCACTGGTTAGTAATGACGTCGCATTTTAACGTTTACAGTGCGATTTTTACCAAACTTTGCATTATTTACGCGCAATATGTTGGCGTTACGCACATGACGTCATGTTAGTGTGTGACGTCATTTAGGCGTTAAGGGACCATATTGTTTAGTGCGTATACGTTAAAATGGCATCGGAACAACGATCTTCAATAAATTTTTGTGTTTGAACGGGTTTTCAAAGAAAGAAACAATGTTAAGATTACAAAAAGCATATGATGATCAGGCGATGAAGAAAACAGCAATGTACAAGTGGTATGCCCGATTTCTAGGCGGCCAACACAGCATCCATGACGTCAAACGCAGTGGACGTCCCAACGTTACGTCAAATCACGTCGCTGTGATAAAGGAGCTGCTTGACAATGATCGTCGGATAACAATTCGCGAAATACACGAAAGATCGGATTGTAGCATTGGCACAGTGCATCGCATTATTCACGATGAACTCAATATGAGACGCCTGTGAGCCAGGTGGATTCCTAAAATGTTGACGGACGAACAAAAAGTGGAAAGGGTGCGGTGTTGCAATCAAGTTTTCAGACGCTTTCATAGGGAAGGTGAACGTTCCTTGCGACGGATAGTGACTGTTGATGAGACATGGATCAGCCTGTACGAACCTGAAATCAAATGACAGTCTTCTATGTGGAAAACTCCAGGATCGCCTTCACCTAAGAAATTTAAAGTCGGCCAATCTGTAAGGAGACAGATGTTCATCGTCTTCTTTGACGACGACGGTGTGATACTGAGCCACGCGGTACCCCTGGGTCAGACTGTGTCGGCGAAGTATTATTCTAAGGTGAATAAATTTATTTAATCTATAATAAGATATTCATTATTATGTCAATACATTACCTAACATTATTTATATTTGTGTAAGTAATTATGAAAATAAATTATAACGACAATTTACATATGATTGTATTTCTTTATCCTTTCAGATTCTGAGACGCGATTTTATGAGGGCGATGAGAAAGAAGCGGGCCACGAAAATCGCCGACACGATATTTCATCACGACAACGGACCGTCTCATCGTGCGGCCGAAACACAGTACACAATCAGGAAACTCGGCTTCGAAGTCCTCGAGCACCCGGCCTACAACCCTGACCTCGCACCATTGGAATTCTTTCTGTTCCCGACATTGAAGAACGTCCTGCAGGGAGAACACTTTGATGATGTTGACGACTTACGTCCTACGTCCTACGCAGTGCAATAATAATTATTTCAGAAAGATCGTCAAATATTTTGACCAAAATTAGTTTTATTTGAACGTAATCTTGATTGATATATCAATCGTCACACCCATGTTACGGTAATTATACACATTTCGGCGACGGGATTCAAACATAGGCTCACATTACGATTTTGACGAATGGCCACTTGCACATCGACTAAACCAAAGCAGGATGATCATGTTAGAGAAATAAACAGTTATTATGCATGAAATGACTAATAAACTATGACAGCGGAACTTGATTTTATCTAATTTTATGCTGGCGACAAGCCAAAATTGACCCTTCGCAAAACCTTGAGAGCCACCATTTGTTTAAAAAAATATTCATATAGTTATGAAAAGCGTTTCGCTTTTCGCACTTATGTGCTACTAATTCGAAACTAGTTTTTTTTTACACTAAGTGATAAATTTTGGTGTGTTTAATTTGTCTAAATACCGGCGACAAGTTTGTTTTGTAATTGTACCCATCTTTAGAAAGTCACTGTACTATGGCAACATATATATTAAAATATGGCAAATGTAATAATATGCGTGATTTTCCAACAATTAATGGAAATAATTCTGTTATGAAAATTGACATTAACATAGCAGAATGGAGAGTATGAACACCATTTGAAGCTCAACTATACGGAGTAAACTGAGAGCTGTCCTACTCACCAAGCAACGGTGACCGCATGCATATTTCTGATTAAAGTTTGTATGCACTTAAATCTTCTTCGCCATGACTTCTTTATTGCTTAAGGTATTTACACTTTTGTACTTCAGACTTCCTTTTGTTATGTTAACATTCATTGTTCACTCGAATTGCTATGTATTTAATTGTTTGTTTAATAACACTTGTTTCTGTATTTAAAAAAGAAAGTCTTTGCATAAATAGATTGTTTCTTTAAAAACTATAAATTGTTATTTAAAGATCCAGCTATTGTGTATAATATACATGATGTAAGTATTGTTGAGGGATCACAATTGGAAACATTATGCCCGGTAGTAGATGGAAATCCTTCAAACTCTACAGTTACATGGTCCAGACAAAGTTACGAAAATCGATGGAAAACCGACTATTGTTTATCAAGAACGTTTCAAGAGCAGACGATGAAAACTACACATGTAGTGTAATAACAGAGATGCATCCTACGATCGGTAGATCTTCAAAAATTGAAAGAAGAAAATCTTTTCATCTAAATGTTTTCTGTTAGATATTAACTTGCTTTCCCGATAATATGACAAATGATGCATGCGTTTGATATTGTGATATTCTTTAGAATTTAACAATACATATATCATTCATTGCTTACTAAGATTATCTAACACAGGTAAATATATATAGACTAGTTATTTTTCAGTCAAGGATTTTCTTTTATTATTTTTAGTTCCATCAGAAATTAACACATTTACGATATCTACCGTAAGCTCCGGTCGGACCTTTGTAGTAAACAGAACTCAAAATACATCATTTGAATGCATTGCTGAAGCCAATCCTACTTCAGATTTAAAAATAAATGTCTCCAAGGCGGATTATTTACGAAATGGTATAAAATCAATTATATTGCTCGCCACACCTTGCAACAAGTGGCAATCATTTAAAAAAGATCCGGGAGAATATATTTGTAAGACCGGGGGAAACAACTACACAAAGTGGCTCACCATTCACAAGTCAAAACTGATTTTATCGTTAAAAGTAAAGAATTTAAACGAATTTGTATTCAATGCTAACTTTAAAAAAAGTCCCTCGCAAGGATATCGATGAAAGTAAATTTGGGAAGGTCAACTATACGGAGTAAACTGAGAGCTGTCCTACTTCACCAAGCTTCGGTCGCCGCAAGCACATTTTCTGATTAAACGTTTTGGTATGCAACTTAAATCCTTCCCTTTCGGCCATTGAACTTCCTTTATTGCTTAAGGTAATTTAACTTTTTGTACTTCAGACTCCTTTGTTATGTTAACCATTCATTGGGTTCACTCGAATTGCTATGTATTTAATTGTTTGTTTAATAACACTTGTTTCTGTATTTAAAAAAAAAAGAAAGTCTTTTGCATAAATAGATTGTTTCTTTAAAAACTATAAATTGTGTTATTTAAAGATCTCAGCTATTGTGTATCAATATACATGATGTAAAGTATTGTTTGAGGGATCACAATTGGAAACATTATGCCCGGTAGTAGATGGAAATCCTTCAAAATATATAGACTAGTTATTTTTCAGTCAAGGATTTTCTTTTATTATTTTTAGTTCCATCAGAAATTAACACATTTACGATATCTACCGTAAGCTCTGGTCGGACCTTTGTAGTAAACAGAAATCAAAATCCATCATTTGAATTGCATTGCTTGAAGCCATCCTAACTTTAAAAAGCTAGCAAGTATAAATAAACCATGAAAATGTAATTTTAAAGACTCGTGCATTCATTTGAACACCATTTAATTAAACTGTTTAAAATAACAATTATCTTTAAAGTGCTGATTGCATTGCCATTGTTTTTAGATTACATTAAAAATATTAATAAACATAAATCTAAATGGAAAAACTATTTCTATCTGCAAGGCCGACCAAGACCATCCTCTGGCGCAACAAACGTTATAAAAAAGTGGCAACAGTTCTGAACGTTGATGTAACACACTGCTATTTACATCTTGGAATTATCTTGATGAACCAAACAATAAATGTTAGTTGGTTAAGGAAAATGTTTGCCATTCCTAATGATGGGCAATGCTACATATATACATTCGAATGATTTTCAAAAACAAATATTACTATAATGAACACAACTCAACAAAGATTATGGGTCTTTATTCAACGTAAATGTTGAAAAATTCAGTTGGACTTGTATACTCACTATTATGAATTGAAAGCCACAGGTAAGTACATTTTATCTTAACTTAATGCATTGGTTTAGTATTAGTTTTTAAATAAATCCTGTTTAAATATTAAAATACTTAAAACCCGCTGATTAGTACCTTGAATATATTGTACACTGGCTGTATTTAATGAACATTTTTACACTTGAGTGTATGTGATATTGTTATTAATGTTGTTGCAAGTATGCACTTTAAAACTTTGTTTGAAGCTTAGCATGAAAATATACGAGCTTATGTTTAGTATATATCCGTGAATTTACAGATAAACCAGAGAGACCAAGGGACTTTCGTGTAATAAACAACTCAATTACAGACACATCAGTTACTCTTGCATGGAAAGTCCTGGTTTAAATGGAGGATTTCCACAAACGATTTGGGTAATAATCGTTTAAATAAAAAACGACAGTTTTAGGTTTTGAACAAATCAATGCAAGATAAAGGTGATATGAATATTGAATTTATAACTTTAAATTTGACCTTCACCCAACTTCAAGAGTAATGAAAAGGAGATTTTGCTAAGAACTAGGAAAGGAAATCAATTCAACAGAGCGTTTTATTTCAAAAACTAGAGGTAATCCAGGCATATAATGTACTATTTTGACAAACACTTTGAAATTGGGTGAAAGTAAAATATATGTAAGTCACAAGTAAAAAAAAGGGTATGTTGGCGGTTGGGTCACAACAAGTTTTTACCTTTTAAAACATTTTTCATAAAAGAGTAAACCCATGCAAGATGATAATTTTGATCTCTGTTATGATAAAATATGGGACAATTTACAAAAAATGTACAAGTCATTTTAAAACTATGTGGTACAGTGTTCGTGGCGCAAGTCATGTCGTCATTTTGACGTCTACTTATTACCATGAAATTATCGCTCGACATGGATGTTATTATTTAATCTACAATGTCACTGATCCCTTGCATCAGCTGGGATACAAATCTGGCAGAAACGCTTATGTTTAATGAATTTTTGTCAATATTTTTGTGGTTAATTAGTAATTTTTAATATACATGTATCTAATTTGTCTGATGAGGAGAACAATTCCGCCCGTATGTTTCTTTCCAGTAAACCATTTACCTGACGCCACATTGCCGTTGTGAATCATCTCTCCCGAAATTAATTACTTGTTGAACTTCTTTTTCCCCCTGTTGCTTTAATATCATTTTGTAATTTTTGAGGAGTCATTTAGAAAAAAAAGTTAATTGTAATATTCCTTACGATTTCTGTGCAATGAAGTTAAATAAACTGTGCGTGTTATTTCCACGTATACCCGGCAATGTTTACAGATCAAAATGTTAAGGGCGTACAGATTATCAATTTTACATCGAAAATGAGATAACGTATTGTCGATGATAAACGTCAAAGTAATGAGGTGCGCCGTAATTACAATAATTTAAGTAATGAACTATTTCCCGTTAAATTGCCTTATGGTCACATATATTTAATTTAGTAAATACGTATGTTACGCCTGAAGTGCCAGAAATTGCGTTATATTTTATGTAACTTGTCCGTGTTACAACTACTATACATGCGTATAGTGTATTATGGTAAAATATTAAACCCAAATATCGTTAGAGTTTTAAACAAAAAAATCGCTGCGCATTTAAACACTGCACTATTCCTTCTCCATAATGGATGTTTTTGCATTTGAAACATTTAATTTAATCGCATAATTATTGAGACCATTAACGTCTCTAAATAAAACAAAACCATTTTCTTTCCTTACTGCTTGGATTTTCCCAATGGCATCGAATGATCGTAAATTTGTATTGTAAGGATGCATAATTTTTGTAATAAAGATGTTTCGGGACTGGAACCCAAATACCTGACAAGTCCGTTATATGTCCATTTTCCTTTATTGAATCATGTTACTATTACACTAAGTTTAACTACCGGATGTATATTAAGTCATTTTGTAATGTATGTCTGTATACCATGATTTTCTTATGTAATGCAATATGTTATATACGCCACGGTAACTATGCGATGGACATGTATTTGTTTTTGCCAATAAAATAGTTGACTGGACTTAAAAAAAATGACTCTAAAAAGCGTATATCATTTAGTTTGTATAGTAATATTTTCTTTAAAATTGAAAGAAAAATGCGTATACACATCATTTTAATTTAATCAGGCATAACGAAGTCAAAGGAAACGGAAACTATGGAATCTTCAAACACTGGGGCATTTGTTGGTGTTGGTGTCGATGCATCTGTTGTTACACTTGCACTTGTTGCTGTGTCATTTTTTGGATATAAACGACTTAAGTAAGTGAGGTCATGTTTTTCTTATAAAAGAGCCATGACATGTTTAAATCCCCATTTGATAAAAATATATCCATAAAACAATATTTTATGAGCACTTTATCAAATCATTTATTAGCTACAGATTTTTATCAGGGCTGAATTCAGTCATAATGACTTATTCGTTGTAAAATGAAGATTCATTTGAAGGTACCAAATATACATACAATAATAGGTATCGATTTGATTAGATGAGCCTAACCGTTTAAGCCACATTGTTGAACTACGGAAGCGTCCTGGTGCCAATTTAACATGTTCTATAAAACACGATAACTCCTACGTAGGACTTTGTAACTCCTACGTAGGAGTTAAAAAAGCCTAATTAGGAGTTTATAACTCCTACGTATGACTGTTTAGTTATAAGTCCTACGTAGGACTTTATAACTCCTACGTAGGACTTTATAAGTGTTCTTCTACGTAGGAGTTATGAAGTCCTACGTAGGAGTTTTAAACTCCTAATTAGGCTTTTTATCTCCTACGTAGGACTTATTAAGTCCTACGTAGGAGTTACAAAGTCCTAATTAGGAGTTTATAACTCCTACGTAGGACTTATAAAGCCCTGCGTAGGAGTTATAAACTCCTTATTAGCCTTTTTTATCTCGTACGGAGGAGTTATCTTTTCCGTATTGAACCTTTCGGTAGTTATCTAATGGATAATTTCTGCTTATTGATGAATGTGAGTCGTCATACTGAGATGTTAAAACGACCATCCAATTTCTACAGGCATGTCGAATATCCTCATTTTTACAACACAACACACAATCTCGCAGTATTTATGTTTATAATCATATGAATGAATGTGCATTAATATGGAGCTAATACACCTATAAAATATAATACATACTAAGAGTAATACCATATCAACGTCTAATTTGTATTTATAAATTTGATAAACCCCAAATACTTCAATACTTTTTTAAATCCATGTTTGTTCATACGAGAAAAAACATTAACACTTCTCAAACATGTTCAAGACACATCGGAAGAAGTCCAAAATAGTATCGATTTTTCTTTTACTACTAAATATACCGTACTCATCATGAAATGATTCTGTCATATAGTAAGTAAATGGTATTCGAACGCTCAGATAATATTTTACTTTGCAGATTTAAATTATTGCTCTAGTTTGTTAAATTTAAACACATTTATTTAAGCTCAAGTGCGAAACAAGTTGGTAAAACTTATATTAATCACTTTAGTTTTCAAACCATTACCGGTGTAAAAATTATGAAAACCTGACCGAACAGTGGGTTAAGATGCACTGATTTATTTTTATTTGGTGTCAGGTTTCATTTAAATATAATATAACATATCTTATATTAATATACACTGTGATTT